ACTGCACTTAATAAGTTTTTCTACACCACAGATATAATTGTTCTATGATCGCGAAGGTAGTTAATTACTTTTAGACAAAAATGGAGTTAATGACTTTTGCCAGAACGGGGACGATATATTTTATTTAAATTATTTCAGAATCAATGTTATTCCTTAAATATTTAATTATTGCATAAAAGCTTAAAAGTCAAATGAAATGTGCTTAGAAAGAATGGTAAATAGCAGGTAGGTAGAATTATTGAGTTTAAAAATAGATATGTTAATTTTATTAGCAAAACCCGAATGCCTCCGAACAATTACAATGGAGCATTCAAATGGACATTACTTCTTTCCGTAACTGTACAGTTGTATTCATTAAAAAAGCGTACAAGAATTAGAATGAGAGAAAACTGTCAACATTATTGCGTAAAACCGGCTTTCCACTGACTTAAGTCACTATAACTGACAGTAGAAAATAAAAATGCCTCGTCAGTTAAAAAGGCTCAAATAGTATCAAGAATCAAAGAAGAAAGGTCAATTCGTACTGTGGTATAATAGAAATAAAAAATCTATATTAAAAATTAAGCAACGCTGGGAACAGGAAGATTTACTAAACCAAAAAGTTGGTTCAGGTCGTCCCAAAATGTCCACCCCTGAACAGGATGCTGCTTTTTTGAGATATCTGAGGATTTATGGGAAACTATACAACTATACTATACCTACTATACTGCTGGGAAGATATTAATCCAAATATTGTATTAAATTTAATTCAGTTCATCCCAAATAGATTGGCTCAAGTAATAGAAAAACAGGGATGCATGACAAAAATATTACATTTTATTATTATTTATCATGTTTGTTTTTTCATTATTAAAAAGTAATAATTTTTGTAATATTATTTAATTAACCCACGACGTCAATGCTCTTTATAACCTATAATAATAATTTTAATGACTTATGTCAGTGATAAGCCGGTTTTAAGCAATAATATTATTTTGACAGTTTTCTCTCATTCTAATTCTTGTACGCTTTTTTATTGAATACAACTGTACCTACCATGGCAGAAAATGGATTATTTTTGTCGAATGACTGTAACGTTAACTAACTCAGTTTTATTTTACCCCCGTATTTAACTCACAACTTGTTATGTTATTTTAGAAAAGATACAACATCTGAACATAAAATTAATAGAAAAACAAAAAATTAAAACAAATATATGACATCAACCAGGCCCGTAGCCAGCCGTAGGACCCGACGGGCCCGGGCCCCCCCCGAAATTCCGTGAACCCTAAAATTTTCCTAAATATGTGAATCATGTTTTAAAAATATTTTCGACAATGAAAAGAATCAAGACTTACTTACGTAACTCAACGGCAACGAAAGACTTAGTGCACTCGCCGTACTGTCAATTCATGGAAACTTAGGTATCGATCCGAATGAGGTTCTTGAGATTATGGCAGCAAAGAAATCGCGAAGGTTAAAATTTTAATTTTTTTCTACTGAAATTGACGCTTTTCTTTGACAATTGATGTGTATGTGCGTGACTGACAATTAAAATACAGTGATGATATTAATAACAATAAAGCAGTTTTTTACTAATGAGTCCAACTTTAATAACAAATATCCATCAACCATTTCCGCCCCCCCTACCATCCAAAAAATTATTACTACGTTTTGGGCCCCCCCCAAACCAAATTTCTGGCTACGGGCCTGACATCAACTTAGTTTTATTAAAATAAAAAAGTATTACATAGGTATAACACATGACTAGTTATATACTAAACAAAACAAACAATGCAAAAAAACAATACCTATTTAGGTATCATAAAATTACAAAAAACATAGGAACACCAAGATTATTATACAATAACAAAAAAACTTATTGTACAGGAACACTACGTAAAAAAAAACAGTATTTAATCACCGTAATGATAACTCCGGAGTAATTTGGAATAAACACATAAAATAGGAACAAATTACCACTATAAAATTTTAAGGAACTCGAAAAAAAAAAACTCTCTAAGACAAATCTGAGTTAAACACTTTTTTTTAAAGATTTATGTAGAGTCTGTATTTTTACTCTGTCTGATCTTGACAGTTTCATACGGTGGGTACCAAGCATTGTAATGGGCCCATACATAATTTGAATGGGCTCAAATAGTTGCAGATCATCTTGTTTCGGCCAATAGAATTCTTCAAGGTCTTCTTTCATAAACTTCATTTGAATATTTTCAGTTAGGTTTTCTTGATCTTCATTAACCACCTTCGAGACCACCTTTCCAATATACCACATTTTACCATACATGACTGCATAATAGTGCTCATTTAAAATGTTTATTTTTTGCGTATCACATTCTTCTTCTCTTTTAGAGTTAATGTCTGAGATCCAGTGGCGGCTGGTGGATTTTGGCACACCCATATCTCAGTTTTTAGACATGGGACCCACATCAAATTTATATGAGTTTATAATGACACTATATAGACAAGTTCTGCGCAAGCAGAATTTAAATTAAAGTTTGCGAAAAAAAGTTAGTTTTTAAGTGCAACCCCCAGCCTCCTCCCCTCCAAATTAAGATAATTCAAATTAAAGTGGTACAATATTTAATTCACTGAAGTTTATCGACAAATTTCAAATTTTATTAAAAAAATTCAAGTATTACAGATTTTATACCATTTCAAATTTTTTAAAATTTAATAAAAGAAATAATAAAAATTATAAATGGTATAAAACCTGTAAAGCCTCATTCAGAACCTCGTAATTAGTGGAATAAATTAGTGGTTTCAATTAACGTAAAAGTTTGTCTCATGAATATAAACAGTGTTGTTCACAACCAAAAAATTAGTGGTAGTACTTTTTAATTAGTGGAAAAAGTTTGCAAACTTTTACCACTAAATATAATTGGAAAGTGGCTTTGCGCATGTGCGCGGATATATTATGTCCAAAGCAAAAAGTTTGAAGATTTGCTAATTATATAAATATTATTGCAAACTTTTACGTTAATTGAAACCACTAATTTATTCCACTAATTACGAGGTTCTGAATGAGGCTTAATTCTTGAATTTTTTTAATAAAATTTGAAATTTTTCGGTAAACTTCAGTGAATTAAATATTGTACCACTTTAATTTGAATTATCTTAATTTGGAGGGGCAGGAGGCTGGGGGTTGCACTTAAAAACTAACTTTTTTTCGCAAACTTTAATTTAAATTCTGCTTGCGCAGAACTTGTCTATATAGTGTCATTATAAACTCATATAAATTTGATGTGGGTCCCATGTCTAATAACTGAGATATGGGTGTGCCCAAAATCCACCAGCCGCCACTGCTGAGATCTCCGTTGAGTCGTTACAAGAAAACTCATTCGAATCACTTTCAGTCTCACGTTCAGCGCTCGTTTCAGAACTAGATGAATTTCGGCGGGATGTAGAGGGTGCGTTTTTTGCTCGGTTTTTTATTTTGTGACTCTTTGGTAGCCTTTTTCGTGAGGTTTTTTGTTTTGATATCTTTTTAATACCACCTCTAATATTAATTTTTTTCTTTCTATTTCTATTTATTTTGAATCTTTCTAATCTATCTGTGCTCAATTTTGAATTTTCATTAAAGAACCAACATAGGGACGATTTTTTAAAGGTTTTTATGAAGCCATTCTCCAAAACAACTTTAAGGAATCGACTGTTATTATTTTCAGAAGGCTTTAGCTTTTTGCCAGTGAAGTCTTTCAGTGTTAGGGATCCCTTGTAAGACTCCTCTCCACAACTTTTTATGACCAGGTAATATTTTGAATTTATTTGGAACTTTTTTGTATGGTCCATAGTAATTTTCGTACTCATCTGGTTCAATTAGATGTGGAAGCTCTTCTTGTGAAAATTTTTCAATCTGTTCTATATCTTGATATGAAATTTCTTGGATCTCTTGGATCTCTACGTATCTCCACCGGATCTCCACGAATCTCCACATATCTCCACAGGATCTCCACGTATCTCCACCGGACATCCATGTATATCCACGGACCTCCATGGATTTCCACATATCTCCACGGATCTCCATGAGATCTCCATCCCCAAAGACAGAAGATTTCCACAGTGACTACCCCCTCGGGTTACGGGTATTTTTTAAATATTTTGGTAAATGTTTTAATAGGTCCACTCTTTTGAATTTATTTATAGAATGGGCTTTTAAAAAAGGTCAGTGTTTATCACATTTTTTAGACCAATTAAAAATATTGTAAAATTATCATTTATATCATACAAATTATATGCTAAAATGTAAAATTATCATTTATACATATACCTACCTACTACTAAATTTATATTACATAAGTAGGATAAATGTTATTGCTATGCTATTTTTTTATAAATATAAAATGATTTATAATAATATCTTCAAATGTTTAATGTTTTTTAATATAAGTTGATATGGTAACAATACATTAGTTTATGCTAATAAAATCTAGCATTAAGATGAATTGAAAATATACAATTTATACTATATTTAGATTTCATTAATTAGGTATACATTCTAAAAATAACTGCTGCACTTTGTACATATTTGTAAATGTGATTGCAATACATTCAACTTTATATTTCCTAGTCATTGCATAGTATTAAGTCTACTTCCTATAGGAAATATATTTTTAAATATTTAGGTTGAGTAACATTGTTAAAAGATGCATGTTTTTATTCACTTAATTTCACATGTTGGCCAATTTATTTAATTATTGTTTATCCAGATGTGTTTTAAGTTTTGGTGGATTAAGTACCATAATTTTAAAATTTTGAAGGATTAGGTAGTTATATTTTGCAATAAGGGTATCAATATTGTTTAAAGTTATTAATCCTGAAGATAAATTACACACATTATATTTAATATTGAGGCACCACCATACACAGATTTTTACAAAGTTATTAATAAATTAAGTTCAGGAAAATAGAAATTGTATGTTCAGTTAACTGACTATTAACATAAATTACTGTATTATAATGGTACTATGAATAAAATTATAAAATAAACTGGGGTTACTTACTCATTAGCTATGCCAGAGTTCTGGGAAACAATTTCCGTGAACACCTGGGTATTTAAATTGTCCAAATTCTCATTGAGTTTTTCATCAAAATTCGTTCCAGCATCTGCACTGGGTTCTAACACTTCACTATTCACTTTTGTGTCAGTACTTAAGTTAATTTCCTTATCACTGGTTTCATTAATTGAAACATTTTCTGGTATTGGCACTACAGCACTGGCTGTCTGTAATATCTCTCCATCTTCGGCATTAACTCCAATTAAGGAAGAACAACTAAAATTGAAATCCAATTAGATCAATCAAAAAGGACAAACAAATTTAAATTACTTACATATTACAGCTTAGCGTTAGAAACAATAAAATAACGAAACTCGGACACAACCCCCTAATCTTCATTTTAAGTAATAAAACCTTATTTTTAAACGCATGTTTTAAGTAATGACTTCTGCGAGGGAACTATTATTCTTTTCTGATGAAATTAAACCGATCCAAACTGACGTGTACTTTTACGGTTGGCAACCACTTGTCAATGTCAAACATCATGGCTGCCAACGAACATTGTCGTTATCTGGGTTGCCTACTCAACCCAAGTTTTGGCATTTTTTTTAGATGTAGTCGGTTTTTATGTTTTATTAAATTATTTAAAGGTATAGGTATTAATAAAAATAGTGGAAATTTTCAATTTTATATTAACATACATATAAAAATAATATTATACCTAATACATTTATTTATCATCAAATATCATATTTTAAGTGCAATTGATTTTTTATACTCTTTGAAGGTTTTTGATTATCATCTAAAGACTTTATTGAATTTAGTCCCTGTATAACGTGTGTTTCCATCTGTTGTTTAATTAATTCAAAATCATATTTATTTTCTTTTAAAACGTTTTCCATTTCAAAATCAATTTTTTCTTCATTTTTGCAGAATTCTTCCCTTAACATTTTACTTTCTTTATAAAGTTCATCACATTTTTGTTGAATAAATAATGTATTATGACTATGGTCCTAAAATAAATATATATAAATACAAAGGGTTTGAACATATTTAAATTTACTATTTATTCAAAGATAAATTGATTGAATAATCCCTATTTGAAATTCAAATTGAAACTAATTAAAACTATTAGAATAAAACCATTACTATTAAAATAGTTTATATATTCGATTTGAAATCCTAATACCCAAATGATTTCCCAAAATAAGAGGGCGCTGGTGTTCTGTTTGTACCAAAACAATAGTCGTCAGCACAAAATAAAAATCAGCGCCACTAGTGATGAAAAAAAAAACGTAATTTGTGCGATTTAGTAGGCAGGTTCTCAACTTCTGCCTATTCAGTTTGTACTCCTTGTGTAGGCTTCATGTCCTAAAAACTATTTTTGACGTCCGCCATATGTCATTTTGACATCTGTCAAATTTGACACCTGTCATGTCATCTGTAATTTTAGACATCTCTAATTTTTGATGATTGACAGCCTGTTTTTTTAATTTTAATAAATAAAATTAAATCAAATTATCAAAAAAAAGTTCAATTCAATAATAATTATTTTATTATTATGGGATTAGTTCAAATATTTGGTTGAATCCATTTTTGATGTCTGTAATGTCATTTTAACATCTGCCATACCTATTTTTTATACCTGTTAGCTGTCATTTTAGAAACCTATAATTTTTACATTTATTATTTGACATTTTTTTAAGAAGACTAAATACAGGAGGAGGTAACTTGCTAGGTGTGGCCACAGTCAAAGTGCCACCTAGATATTTGAATACAAATAATTGAGGTTATCTATCTGTCATTTTAAAGCTAATTTCGTCTTATTATGTATTTGTTCTAAATTGGGACCTATATGCACAAAAAATACATTAATCTTAGCGTCAATCTGACAGGTACATAAGTTATGTACCTGTCAGATTGACGCTAAGATTAATGTATTTTTTATATAATTTAACCTCAATTATTTTTATTCAAATGTCAAAGTGGGACTTTTGGGTGTGCAGCAGTGTTACAAGATTCTGTAAAAAAAAATCTATTTTGTATGAATTTACCTTGATTACAAAAATGACACAATATTGTACATAGGCTATGTTCCGTAATTTACTGTCAGTACTGAAAACGTATTCCGAAATCCACTTTCAGTTACTGATATCAGTGGTAAAGTACCCTTTTATAAATGTACGGCAGATTAATTTTACTGAAACAACTGGTGACAGAGAGGTGCTGTGGCTCCAGTGAAACACATAACCAAGCTTTCAAACATAAAAAATAGCAGTCAAATAAAGTGAAGGATATAATGGTATTTGGTGAATACCTAGAACTAATTATTTCAATATTTATTTATAAAATATTACTTGAAAGTCCAAGCAGCAGTGATGAAGGACACGAATTAATAATTAAAGGAGGATGGCAGGCAGGTCGCCGGGGAGTACGCATACGAAGACCCAGAATATTTAACTACCTACTAGGTAGTACCTAGAAAATGTTATACATTTGTATTTAGCATACGAATTTAGAAGTAATTTTTTGTATTTGGCGTATTGTTGTGGTGTCAGTGAAATTTTATGTTTCCTATTCCTATACAGGGATGTACACATTATTCGACGCGGACGACGATAACATTTTATTTTCCATATTTCTCTGGCATAAACCAAAAATTATATTTCTTATAACTGTTATATTTATTTTTTATTTATGTTCTCTGCTGTACCGAAAGTAAAGCACAGATTATAAAGGTAAGTAAAGTTTGTCAAATGTCAGTAAATTACAAATCATAACCTTGCGTAACCATTGTCACTTTCTGCTGCTACTGAGGCGCGTTCCAATTTTACTATTGCGTCAGTACTGAATAAATTACGGAACGGTCGTTTTTCGCTACTGACAGTAAAATTACTGATAGTAATGGCAGTAAATTACAGAACACAACCATAAATTACATATATATATATTACATATGTACAATACAAATTGTCAATTTGATTGTAATGTTTTTGTAATTAAGGTAAATTCAAACCAAATTGTACGATTTTTTTTGACAGAATTTGGTACCATCTTAAATTTTTGACGGTAGTTTAGGTTTTTTAATTTTTTTAGTACAAAAATAATTGTTTTATTTACCTTAACATCGTTCTCTAATCTGTTTGCATCTTCAGAAATTTGTTCTAAGTCACTTAAAAAAGATTCATGAAAAGTATTCAGTTGTTTTTTTGTGTTGGTGATTACTTTTATTTCTTCACTACCTTCCTACAATATAATAAAAAAAATAATGTTTTAATAGTTACCTAACTATTATTAAAACTTACACAACCAATATATTTCATTGGATGGAAAATAATTTCTTTAGGTATATAAGCAAAACTTCGAAGAGCATTACCAGTCAAAGCTGATTCTTCATTATAAATGTGAGTTAATTTACTTTTGTATGTTTTTATTTTCTTTATACTCTCCTTCCATAGAAAATCTTCTTTTTGTATTTTTTGGATGTAAAGCTGCAATAATTCCAATTCTTTGTTTCTTTTTTTGGTTAATCTGTCTTCCAGTTCATCAAGTCCCTCCAAAACACATTGACAATCATGTGATTTGCCATCCAAAAATTGTAGAGTTTCGTTTTGTTGACTTTGCCTTAATTCACTTACCTAAAATCAAAACAAAATAAAAAATATGTTGGATAGCATTTTTTTGTACTTTGTACAACTGTTTTGAATCATACATAAGTTTCTTACCATTTCTTGCACAACTTCTTCCAAATCACTCTTACTCTTTTTTTGCAAAACTTCCTTTTCCAATATTTCTTCCTGAAATTCTTTCCAACAACTCCCTAAATTATTTACTTCTTCAAAAAGGTCCGATTTTAACTCATTTATACTCATACTGATATCGTCAGACAATGTTAAAGCATTGGACTTACATTCTTCTTGTGTTATGTAATTTTTACCCTCCAGGCAAAATTCCTTCTCAAATTCTTCTAACTCTGCCATTTGATTGTAGAACTTCGGTTTTTCCGTTTGAACATTTGCAAAATTTAATGATGTTTCTTCAAGAATTTCGTCCAATTTAGCCACAGTGGAATTTATTGCTGTTATTGTGTTTTTGGCGTTTTCTTGGTGTTTACTGGATATGTCCTTATAGTTTGATATTTTTCTACTGAAAATACTTTCTTTTTCAAATGATTTTCCGATTAGATTGTTCAGCATTTCATTGGTGCTTGTCAATTCTTTTTCTTTGTTACTAAAGGCTTGACTTACAAATTTCTCAGTTTTAAGTTGTCTTCTGGTCTCTCTCTGGGAAAGCTTTTTCTGTCTTAATATCTCTCTTTGCTGTTCAAAGCAAACCTTCAACTCGTCCCACTGTTTATTTTTTTCATTCATAATCAGTTCTATGCCTTTTATATTTTCATTGAGATAGTTAATGCACTGTTTTTTTGTAACAACTTGTTCCTTATTTTCCTTTATATTTTCTGTAATACTTTTATACTCTTCCTCATCCATAAATACACCTTTTTTTCTTTTAATTGCCAACAAGTGTCTTTTTAATTTCTCTACTTCTTTATTAAGAACATCAATAACTTTGTACTTGGTTGTTTTCATATTAACTTGTGGACAGTTTGTGATGGTTTGAGCCCTATTTGCATACTCCAAAGTGCTTAGGGTATCCTCGTAATTACTTGAAGCAGGTGAGACAGTGGCCACAATACATGTCTTTGTTTTACCCCCAAGGCTGTCTTGCAATATTCTCGTCAATTTTGAGTCTCTATAGGGAACATACTGATTCTTTTCAGCTAATGCTTTTATCACTCTGCCCAGCGTCAACAGGGATTTGTTTATTCCTGCCACTTCTGCTATCCTGTTGAATGTGCCTGCTCTGCTCATACTCTCACTACCTAAATATTAATAAATCAAATGTTATGCTTTTATAATTAATATAATATACCCAAGTATCACTTTATGGGTATTTTTTAATAAAATTTTCTTACTCAGGCTTTTGCAAAAAAAAAACTTGTTTTTTAACAATTTTATTTTAATTATAAATAGTATGACGAACAAAACTTACATTTATACACAGTGCACTGTCAAACCCATAATAAGGTTAGAAAGTGTCTACCGGCACGCACAGATCCCAAAGGTGCTGTCACGCAAGAAGACATAAGGTAGGAGATAAAACTATTGGATTGGATATTTTTGCGAAAGCGCGAACAATTTTTTATGAAAATGGCTCCTGGCTTTTAGGGTCCTCTAATAAAAAACATTCAAATTTTAAAAGTTAATTGCGGTTTATTATTTATTGTTAAAAACATTTAACCTTCGATTTTTCTTTAATATTTTTTAGAAAATTGTTCGCGCCTGCGCAAAAATATTAAAATCAATAGTTTTATCTCCTACCTTAAAGCTGGATTTATAGTTTTAAAGGTAACGGTAGAGGCAGCGGTAAAGGTAGAGGTAAAGGTAGCGGTACTGGTGGCGCATGCGTACTTTAATGCAGATTGTAATTTTGTTTGTAAAATTTGACAGCAAAAGGTTAAGTTTTCTACGAAAACATGGATTGCGAGGACAATGCTAGCACAGCTGTGCATCTGGGCCATATGGCGTTGTGTGAAATATTATATAATAAACCCTGCAACACAATATATTATATATACAGTATATTATACAATATATTATGTTGTATTGCAGGGTTTCAAGTACGTTATGGGGGTCGTCAAGTACGTCGCTATAAAACGAGGGAATTAAATCGGGAACGAGCTAAGAAACGCCATTTCCGGTATTAAAATAAAATAAAATTAACCGATAAAGAGTAGTTCTTTAAATACACAAATGACGGTGCCCATTTTTGACAAATTATCAAGTCTGGTTGCCCCTCGCATAAAAACTTAACTTACAAGGCGAGGCTGCCAACTGCCAACTGCCGTGTGATTGGCTGGAGTAGCGGTTGAGGTAAGAAAAGTTGAAAGATGGTCATCTCTTGCCGCTACCTTCTTGGCTCTACCTCTCTTACCGCTACCTCTAAAAACTATAAATTGTTTCGTACAATATTCAATGCCGAACTCGGCTACCGCTACCGCTACCTTTACCTCTACCTTTACCGCTGCCTCTGCCGTTACCTTTAAAACTATAAATCCAGCTTAAGTCTTCTTGCGTGACGGCACCTTTAGGATCTATGCGTGACAGTAGGCACTTCCTAACATTTTTAGGTGTTTTGACAGTGCACTGTGTATAAATGTAAATTTCGTTCGTTATATTATTTATTATTGAAATAAAATTGTTAAAAACACCTTCCCCGATTTTTAAGAGCCACTTACATAATTTTTTTGCAAAAGCCAGAGTATGGAAATTCTACCGTATTTTTTTATTTGAAGAGCTTTTAACACACAGACAGGTCTGTGTTTTAACATAAAATTTATATTTTTTTGAGACTGTATAATAAAATTCGTACCTGCCAAGTCCACCAAATTTAATTTCCCAATTTTAACGATATCTTCACCATTCTCATTAGGCTCCCTATTATGCACAGTAATGGTGAAAACAGTATGAGATCTAGAACTGTTAGCATTAAGATTTGTGCATGCCATTTTCTTCCTTCTCATTCCTTCCGATAGTAAATGGTAAATATCTGTTTTGTTCATAACATTTAACTCTTTTAGGCCTATTATACATACTGAACCTTTGTTCTGTGGATCATTGTATATCCTAAAATATTAAGACACTAGAAAGAACAAATATATGCATAAAACTTACATTAAATTTGACACATCATCACTCAAAAGATCTCTAATTTCTTCATTATATAACTCCAAATATGAAACTCTTACAGCACACTCAGAACTAATTAAATTAATTTTTTCAATAATATTTCCAGCCGCTCTGGGTATGAAACCAGCATCAACGTCCTTAAAAAACATGAATAAATGAAAGAAGTTTTACAAAACAAACTATTTCTACATTTTTCCAATTTTCATCACACTGTGAATCACCACCACTCATTGTGAAGGTTTTCCCCGATCCAGTTTGACCATAGGCAAAAACAGTACAATTATAACCCTTAATAACATCATCAATCATAGGTTCAACAACATTTGTGTACAAACTTAATTGGCTACTTGCAGGACTAAATACTCCATCAAATGAATACAGCTTCTCTTTAAGTTGAATTTTTTTATCCTTACAAGTTACTATGCTTTGCAACCTTGTATCAATTTCCTTTTTACTCAAGGGTCTAAAACATTTTTATAATAATATTGTGAAAACAAATGTACATAGTTTAACAACTAACCTGACTCGTACATAAACCGATATATTCTGTGAAGGCTTTTTTCCATTTGATGTAGCCATATTAATGATTAATAACTAAAATACTGTTTTTATATAAATACCTTTAGCAAAGATACACTATCACAGTCAAAATAACACTATAAAAGCATAAAAACCGTTGACAATTTAAAAACAGCTCTTGTGTTGGCAACATATTTAAAAAATTCGTGCTACCAACTTCACCGTTCAATGTTGCCAATAGACAGAAATTCAAGCCCTAGTACAGCCAACATCCACAAATTTAGAGAAATATGTGCCAAGATTACATATTTAGAAAATATATGAACCACATATTTATAGTTCTGTAAATATGTGCCCATAATAACATATTTCTCTGAATATTCGGGCCAAAATATATGGCTAATTAACTTTGTAATTGTAAAATCAATACTACCAACATATGTTGCAACCAGAGATAAATAACTCGAGTTACAAGATCTTGTTGAACTTAACAGTTCAATATTGCCAATAGAGAAAAACTTAATCTTAAACATTAAAAATAAAGAACATGTTAAAAGAAAAATATTTTTAATAAAAAATAGTGCATGTCTTGGCAAATTGCTACCAGTAATTTGCTAAAATAAAATATTAATAACACATGGCCTTATTTATATTTATATGAGGTAATTAAATTAGTTTTGGCTTAATTTTTTCATACATAAGATTCTGGATTCTCTTTTTTCCTTGTTTCTTAATAAAATGAAATTGATCCAAAGCAAATTCGTAAAATTCGTTTTCCATTTGCAATGCCATACTTTGTCGTAATTTTACAATGGTTTTTTCAGAGGGCATTTCCTTCTGAACAGTTTGTCTTAAATGAGATTTATTGCTGTTTAAGTAATGATGTAAGGAACCATTGAAAACAGTGGGAAGAGTATGCTCGAGAATATCTATAAAATCGTTCAGCTCTTCTGTCACACCAACAAGTAGATAGTTGTTTACTAGGTTTTTCTTTGCTTCATTTAAAGCCCATTTGTTACCAGGTTTCCTGAAAATATTGTGCAATTACAAATTTTTTATCATAAAAAAAACTTACCAGCAATTTGCTGAATGGCCACAGAAAAATGGAATTTGTAGCCATATATTATTTGGATCACAGTCAGGTAAACTTTTAGACACGCATTCATCAAATGACTAAAAAATACATTTTAAAGAACATTATGTGATTTGGTGGAAAAAGTAAGGTTAGAAACATTTGACAAATGTCAAACTTGACAGTTGGTAAATGTCAAAAATTAAAACCTAACCTTAAATACTTACTACTGTATTACCATGTTTACGTCTAATCAGGTAAGGTCTAAAATTATCACCATATCTAACAAAATAATAATAAGATATAAACCTATCTAAAGGTTTCCTTATAATATTTATATATAAAGGTTTTGGTACCCCAAACCTAAAAATCAAAATGTAAGCATTAAAACATTTTTCAATATGTATTTCCTACTTGGAAAAGTCCACAAAAGCAAAATGTCCATGGTATAATGCTGGTTTAATAGATTTCCAGTTGGTTACATTTTTAACAAACTTAAACTGATTGTCTAGGGATAGTATGTGGCTGTTAGCAGTTATATTTACATGCAGTACATGGAATTTGTTTACTTTACATAAGTCATATGTCACACCAACAAAACTTGTTGATCCAGTCTTTGGAACTCTATTGTAAATAAGTACAAAATCATTATCGTTCACATTATTGTTAAGTACTAGTTTCTGCTGATCATGTCTTACAATGTTACGTTCTAAAATAAGCTTATCAATAAAGAATATTCATATACATAATGGTACTACCTACCTAATGTTTCTATCTTGTCTTGCAATTTAGCGAATTGTATTTGGTAAAAAGTAACAATTAAACTTATGGCAATAATTGCTATTAAATATCCAAGTCTTGGATTGTGCATAATCATAATTCATATTTTCCTGTTTTGGTGTTTAATATTGCTCCGAAAATCTATAATTACATAATTACACAATTAAACATCTCATTTTCGGCCCATTTTGCTTCTAATGACTAATGCAAATTTGATGTTTACCTTGTCAAATTTCACAACGTTGCCATTAATGACAGCGTTGCTCTTTTAAGAAGTGTATACTGGGTTGCATAAGTACATACTATTTGTTCTCTAATTCAATAATTATTATTTATTTATTTATTTATTTAATTAATATTCTACAGGCCTAGACCCATTTACAGAATATATTAAAAAAAAAACATATAAACATGTATAACATATATATCACAAATCATATCACATTTAACTAAGAACAAAAAATATGCAAACTAAACCAAAAAGAGTAGGAAAAAAAAAGGATAACAAAATAACTTAAAATAGGTAGGTTGAGAAAAAATGCTTTAGCATTACATGAAAATAAATCTATGTGATCTTCAAACTTATTGTAACTAGACATAATTTGATAAAGTGGTGATTGAATCAAAATATTTGTTCGTGGGGTTGCGATGGAAAATGTGGTTTTAAGTCTAGTTCTTAAGCGGGGAATATGAAAATTTAACATGTAAGTTAACTCCTCACATTTAACATCATAGTTTATTATTCTGTGCAGAAACAAAACACGAGAGCTGTGCTGTGCCAGACTATTAAACTTAAATTCTAAAAGGAGTAATTTATGTTCATATCCCTGAGTAGGATAAACTTGATGACACCTAAAAAACAGTGTTTTCAAAAACCGTCGTTGAACTGATTCTAAACTTTTTATATGTATATCGTATAGGTGACCAGATTATTGAGGCATACTCCAGCTTAGCTCTTACATGCGTATTATATAGTGTAGTACAGTGTTGTAACAGTTACAATATTTTCAGTATCTAGCTACAGTTACAGTTACTTACCAAAATTTGTAACTAGATACAGATACAGATACTTATTTTATTGCAGTAACTAGTTACAGATACAGTTACCTTCAAAAAGTATCTAGATACTTTAAGATACATACAAATTATTTTTTGCTTTAAAAAGTTTAAAATAGAAATAAAAGGGAATTTTAAAGTGACAACAAAAATATACATGTTTATTAGTTTTATTTTTTTTACGATGTGGCTCCCGTCCCGAGGCGGGACTTAAGTTCAGTCCCGATTGACGTCACACACTGTAAATCCGTTTTTATTCCCAGAGATTTTATAATTTGTGTCAAGCTCGATGGCTTAGATGGTAGGGCGGTCGCTTGGCATGCGAGAGGTATCGGGTTCGATCCCACTAGAAGTTGTCAAACTTTTTTTATTTTTTTTATTTTATAAATTTGTTGTTTCTTTGTTAAAAAGTGTTTTATTTTTATCGTAACATAAATTTGCCCATTTTAGTTGGGTTTTTTGCTCAATGGGGCGGGGGGGGGCCCAATGGGGCGGGGTCGGTTGGGTTGTGTTGTTGAGTTTGGGTTGGTTTGGTTTTATGACGTAACTAAAGTGCCCTTAACATGTATACAGGTACAATTTATTATTATTATTATTTTATTATAACATAACAAATCTTAAAATTATGACGTCAATCGGGACTGAACTTAAGTCCCGCCTCGGGACGGGAGCCACAGCGTTTTTTTTATAATACACTCACAGGCAAAATAATCGATCCACACAAATTTTCGATGAATTTTTTATAATATTTTTTTTTAAATAAATAATAGTCGCAGTTTAATTAAAAATGTATCTTTGTATCTTAACACACCTAGTTACTTAGAATTTGTAACTAGTTACAGTTATAGTTACTAGATTGGGATAAGTAACTAGTTACACAAACAGATACATAAAAAGTATCTAGATACTGTATCTAGTTACTTGTAACTAGATACGTTACAACACTGAGTGTAGTATAAGTAGAAGGACATGAAAAGTCTTTAGAATTTCTTGTAATGAACCCTAGAGTTTTATAGGCAGACAACGTTATATTAGTTATATGGGGTATAAAACTTAGCTCTGTGTCAAATGTCACACCAATTAAGATCTGTAAAGTTGTCAATCTTTTGCAAAACGTAATATATGTTCTGTGGCAATACGTTACCTACTATCTGGTAGTCAAAAATAATTTTATTTATTTTACGTGTATATGACATAGTGTTGCATTTGCTTAGATTTAAATTTAATTTATTTTGTGAGCAGCAGTTGTTTAAGTATTCAAGATTGGTTTGTAGAATCCTACAATCTTCAATAGAATAAATGGGTTGTAATAACTTTAAATCATCATTAAAATTATAAATTTTAAAAGCTAAAATTTGTTTATAAAAACAAAGTTATTATAATTTACAGTTTTACATGTTTTAGTACCAATAGAAAGAATCTCAGTTTTAGATAAAAAATAATGGGTGGTAATTTCACTGGTAATGCCTTAAGAAAAGGGTAATTCATAGTTATAACTTTCAACCCAAGGATAAAAGGACAGGATATATCCTATGACTATAGTCATCTCCCTTGAAAAAGCGAGCTAAATATAGGTACCTAGTGTTGTGGTAAAAGGAACACAAAGACAAAAAAATGACTACATATGGTAACCTTTTTTTGCAAACAGCCTTCTTCCGACTGATTTACTGCAAGATACATACACCATTTACTGTATCTACTATCTTATAACCTATTTAAATTTTAAACTTCTTTTAAGGACACGTATACCTTATGTATTATTTTACTTAATATAAAATTTATAAGGTCAAATACGAAAAGTAGGTAACGGTATTGATAAAGATTAGTTAGTTATTTAAAAGGTAAGATATTGAAAATAATAATAATAAAATTGTAAATAACACAACGCAACAAAACAACCATTTTATGTCCTTGGGTTCATTTTACGATATTTTTATTAATCATCTGAGTACTGATACTACTAGATTTTATATTTTTGTCAAAGGTTTACTTTTGACAATATTCACGTAGATATAAGGTTTTAAAAAGCGTTTTAAAATTTAGTTTGTTAAAATTAAAACGTTAAATTACCGTGGGTTTAAGAGTGTCTATGGTACATCTCCATTCAGTAAAATTTAAAAACAACATCGAGTCCAATTTAATAAAAACATTATATGTACATAGAGACTTTAGGTATTTTGGATTTAATTAGGGAAATTACTTACCTAAAAACAAAACAAAAAGAGTATATTTTAGTTTTATTAACAAAAAAGTTTGTAATTCAAAAATGATTAATAGCTATTTGCGCCTTAATCATTGATTTTATCAACAATTCCACTAAGTGAATTATAATTTTTAATTGACAGGCTATTTATTCGTCGCAACATTCTTAATTTTTCTTTTTGTTGGTTTGTTAATTGAGGCCAAACAAATGTTTACGCCGCATGCCTAATGTTACTCTATAACGCACTAGGGGCATTCCCATGTCGTTAACAAATTGACAATCAACAATGTTAAAAAATTAATATTTTTGTAGAAAATTAAACGCTCTAAAAAAATGCATAAAATTCGTAAATGAAAGCTTTAATATGTTAATTAACGTTCAAAGTTTTATTTATATAATAGTACCTACATTATGTATCAAGTTTGATAAACACCATTTTACACACGAGCGAGCTTGCGAGCGAGTGTTTAAATAAATGAGTGTCTGAAAAGTTATTTAGATTAAATATATGTAAAGAGCGACATCTATACAAAAAATAGAGTCACTGTAAGAATTTTTAACTTGGGAATCTGTATTACCTGCGCGCCGTCATACTTTATGTGGACATCGAAATTTATCCCTTGAAAATGGACTAACAACAGTTTAAATCTGATATAGAAGCAGTTTTTTACAGTAAAAGTAAAAATAATTATTTAATAATGTTTTATGGGGATTTCACGGTGGAGTCTTCACCAGAAATTTTTAATGCTGTATTAGTAAAATCTAGTTTACTGCCAGCGAAATCAAACGGTCAGTACAAACTTGCATATAAACTTTTCCAATTGGCATTGGCATTGGCGTTGAGAAACTATTTAATACTTTTTATTTTTGTATTAAGATAATAAAATAATTTCCTCATTATTATTTCACAAAAGGGGCACTTTATTTGAACGATTGTATGACAATTGACAGCTGTCAACTAACTTAAAACTAACTTTAGCCCGTGACTAAAACGCCTTAAAGCTACAACTTGTCAAGATGTATTTAAAAGATCACCTAGAGTCATGGAAACATTTACGATAATAGGCGTTTTAAAGGATGAGTGAAAAAAAATATTTTTCTGTCAAGTATAGGTGCAAAATAAACAATCGTGTTATAATAGGATATTATAATAAGTGTATAAAAAGACTTTATCGCACTAGCGATAAAAATAACAAGCACGAGCTTTTTTTATTTTTTTTTTATTTTAATAAATTTATTAACTATTTACTATCTTACAAACCCTGTATGTTATATCTATTTTATTACATTTAGAAATAAATAATTTATAAAACCACAACAAAAAAATTCTATTTCAGGGATTGATGGTTAGAAGTGATGATTTTAGCTATTTTTTGGTTTTGAGTACTGTGATACAACCACAGTCTGTGGATAAAACCAGGTTTTATTTATTAAAAACTAATAATTAATCCCTGCGCATTCGCCATTTTTGACAAAAACCAATTACCAACCTACTAAATTAAATCTATTACCTTTAAGTTATTTCCTAAACTTTCTTTTTAGATATAATATATCGTTAATAATAAATTTATTAGAAAAAGCAGCAATTTTAAAAAACCCAAATTTATATTTAATATTTAACTTACAATCAGGATCAGAATTTGTAGATTTATTCAGGGTGACCCAAAAGTCGCGCACCAACTTACTGTTCATTTTTTTTATTTGTACTCGTGTTTTTTTTTGGTAGTTGGTAGCTTATGCCAGTTTGATTTAGTATTTTTAGTATTAAAAAAATGGTACTTCTGCTGAAGACCTTATGAAATACTCTGACAATAATAATAATAATAATTGACAGTAATATTTATTATTGATAATTTACTTGTTAATTATTATATAATATCGATATAAAAAAATAACTATGCCAAAACTTCATTTCGATGAAGTTATGCCAAATGCCTCAATGGCAGAAAAAGTACATCGCCTTATGGAAATTTTTTGAGTAAAATGTAACGTTTCTGTTTTACAAATAATAAATCACACATTATTTTCAGCTGAGCATATCAATTATTATGAAATTTAAAAAAATAAGGGGGAAATAAAAAAACAAAAAATAAAAATTATTTGTTGTTAGGTTCAACCTTTTTGTAAAAAATCTAGTACCTAATTGTCCTGACTTTGAATATAGCATCCATTTGGTTTGAAAAATAACTTTTTCTTCTTCCAATTTGCAAGTTACTGAACATTAATAGTCCTGGACAATATATACCTACATTGTAATTAATATTAAGCCACTACTTAATATTAACGTCCAGTGGCTTTAACAAAGTACCCATTCACCATTGGAGTCCAATGATTGGACAACATTCACGAATGTTCAAATAAAATTTTAATTTCTTTTATATAAATTCTTTTCAAAGGGAAGATTATTATCCCCCAGGAATATTTTGTCTCTCCCGGGCCGTAGTCACCTATATTTAACTACTTTTTATATGATTTTACTCATTTATGCACCACCAAAGCTAAATTAATTGCATTTTAATTACTAATTTTGACAACTCAACTTGACAACCGTTCAATGTAACCTACAATAACTTAAACATAACCACAATTACATCATAATTACATTTGTTGTCGCGGCGAATGTTTCAAATTGCGTCATCATATTCTGAACCAAACACAGACATTACAATTATTGTTGTTTTCTCTTACGTATATAATCCAAGGAATCGCTAGGTTAACCGCATAGATGACATTCGACATTCATGCAACCAATTTTGGTTCCGTATTTACCAACCAAACCCCTAAATTTGCCACGTTGCCGCAGTCCAGATAAAAAAAATCTACTTTAGGTATTTAATCATTACCTTTAAGGTGATGCGAGACTTTTGGGACACCCTGTGTTTAATTTTATTAATTTTATAATTCCGATTTGGTTTTTCTTAGAAATATTCTTATAACTCTAAGAACTTCCAAGATACCATTAGATATTTATAATTATTGTAATAATTATTTGTCTTGACGAATATTTCTAGAAATGAGTTTTTAAGCAGTTAATAGGAATCGCGGGTATGGCGATTCTCCATTCGCGCCCACTTATAGATGTATATATATAATGGGTAATATAAATATGCGCGTCTGTCCATCGCCCAACTTGTAATACGTCGACTCATTACCATGGAAACCCATGGCTGGGCAAGCATTCATTAATTATTCAAAAACCCGAGCATTTTCGCTGTTTTCGCTTTAGTTTCGATGAAACTACGCGAGCACACGTTCACCACAGCCCACTGGTTTCTTTTTTCGTCCTTCAACCGCTCACTGCTCACTAGATTTACGTGGTAGGTGCAACATGTAGTGCTTTCGTTTCGTTGTCTCTTCTATTAAACAGTCAGTGGAGGAGAGAGAATAGCGCTGAAGAGGCTCGATGAATAAATCGCAAACCTCAACGCGGCATCCGCGCCTCTGCCTTCACCCTTGTGACTTAAGAACACTGTTGATTTATACTTAAAACGCTGCATCGGAGGATAATGGGAATCTGCCTCGATACAGGTTTGTAAAAAATTAAGAATTTTTAGCTTTACGCAAATATTTAATATCATCTAAAATATGATTTAAATTAAATATTTGTATAAAGCAACATTTAAATGAAAATAAAGTAACCATCCCAAAAAACATGTTGGACGTAATTTTCACCATTAACTTTGCCCATTATTATTTTAATTAAACTTAACAATTATTGATACCGTAAACAATTGTGGCTTTAGCTCACTTTCAAACTTAAACTTAAAATTTTTGTGGTTTTAACAATCATAAACATTAAATTTTGTATACCAAAATTTGAGTCTTGAGTTGCTCTTTCATAATAACTATGTTATAATATTACATAGGGCTGAGTTTCAAAAATAAAAATTAAAAACTGAGTATGCAAAGTTACCCCCTGGTTGCGGGTTACTTTGTCTCACAGTTTATTTTCCGTATAAAATGAATTCAATATTATATTTTATTTTTATTAGACACGTGTTAGCAGCGACATATCTATTGCAAGGGATTACCGATAAAAAAAAATAAAAAAACGACCTGTAGTTAACCAAGGATCTTCATTCCAATGGATTGCGCATAATAAAGAAATTGTAACGCGTGTATTTCTGAGAGTTTTGCACTGATGCGATATATGCATGCAATTTTAAAGTGTAATAAATCCCATTTCTTTCTTTAAAACACTGATTTTCCTGTAATATAAACTAAATAGAATCGCTCAATTGACAGGTTTAGACCAACACATTATAAATATTAATTTTATCGAGCAAGAAAAGATTTTTCATAAATGGGTTAAACTCACCCGCGGGGTGCAAAGTCACCCGTGTTTACGGTACTTAAAAGTATTAAAATAACTTTAAAATATGATTATGTTAATAAGATATTTTATCCTTTGATTTTTTTTATTACTAGAATTGCAAAATATTATCACAAAGAATTAAAAATTCTTACACGGGAAATGTTAGAGGTATAAAAAGTGACAGTATTTATTGGAATTCCTGTTAGAATTTGTAACTTGGGAATCTACCGGCGTTAAAATCTCAAATTTTTCTGTGTAAATCAAAATTTATCCCATTAAAATAGACTTACAATCGATATACAAACGTTCATGTAATCTTTCCAAATATTGGCGTCAAGAAACTATTTAATACTGTGGTATTTTTGTATAGAAATAATAAAATAATTTTCATATTTAATATTATTACAGAAGAAAAGTACTTTATTTTATTGATTGTATGACATTTACCAACTGCCAACTAACTTAAAACTAATTTCAGCCCGTGACTAAAAACCTGTTGCTAACTTCAGCCCGTGACTAAAGCGCCATAGAGCCACAACTTGAGAAAATTATTAAAAATCTTAGTAACTTTTAATTCACTTTGTCACATTTATTTTCAATAATAATAATAATTTTAAAACCTAATTTTTAGGGATAAAATCGGCAGTTTATTTTTATATACAGGGTGTCTCACTAACGTCATACGCGTGGGTAGACAATGTGACAATATTAAAGTAAAGAAAAAAAGTTCTACAAGAAAAATTATGATATCATATTGTGACACAAAAAACCATGAAATTTTACAAAATACAATAAATATTACAAAATAAATACTAATACAACAATAATTAAAATACCACAGACAACAACAAAAATTTTATAAACGAAAATAAATGCTTAGACAATAATCGACCGGTGAAGTCGTCCCCGACAAAATGTTTTCTTCCCTTGACCGATCATATCGGCCGTGAGGGTGCAAGGTTGCCTTGTTTATATTAACCCTAGTTGACGTCTATGCATGCTTCGCGTGTATTTTTGTAGGTGCGAGTTTTTAGTTTTGTTTGTCTTTCCATGATGTTTTTAAAAATATCATATTTTTATAGCGTATGAATTTTAAATGGTTCTCTACCATACAAAATATTCAGCTTTAAAATTCATAAAAAATGACCAAAACTCCAAAAACTATCTATAGACAGATTGAGTTGTAGCTAGACAAAAGCCCAACTCTCTTTTTATTAAGATATAGTACAGCAATGCAAAAATTAATTAATTAAAATTATTTTTAAATGATAAAAACATTTTTAAATAATTATAAACGAAATTATTAATACGCAAAATGTGAGGATTTTTGAACACATGGTTAAAATTAATCCCGGCGCATTCGCCAAAATTGTCAATTAAGCTAATTTTGTCAAGAACATGAAGTTCATTTTGAACATTGAACGGTTGTCAAGTTGAGTTGTCAAAATTCGTAGTTAAAAATGCAATTAATTTGGCTTTGGTGGTGTAGTAGTTAAATATAGGTGACTACGGCCCAGGAGAGACAAAGTATTCCTAGCGGATAATAATCTTCCCTTTGAAAAGAATTTATATAAGAAGAAGAAATTAAATTTTTATGTGAACACACGAGAATGTTGTCCAATCATTGGACTCCAATGGTGAATGGGTATTTTGTTAAAGCCACTGGACGTTAATACTTGTAGTGGCTTAATAATAATTATAATGTATATATTGTCCAGGACTATTAATAGTATTAATTAATAGTAACTAGCAAATTGAAAGGAGAAAAAGTTTCGAGATTATTGCTTATATTTTTCAAACCAAATGGATGCTATTTTCAAAGACAGGAAAATTAACTACCAGATTTTTCACAAAAAGTTTGAACCTTTTTGTTTTTTTTTATTTCCTCCTTATTTTTTAAAATTTCAAAAATTTTCTGCTTAGCTGAAAATAATGTGTGATTTAATATTTGTTAAACCAAAAACAAACCAAAACAAATAAAAAAAAGTGAACTGTATATTATATTTTCATTCGTCTATACATTTAAAAATGTTTGGCTTCAGTCCGTGAGTGCTATTTTTTATCAGTAATTATGAATTATTAAATATCTCGTAAATTATTAACTTTAAGTATAGGGAATAGTTAAATCAATCGAAAGGTTTTTTATTTTACTATTTAAATATGAAAAACATACTGGGTTTTACTTTTGAAATAAAAAGTTAATAAGTTTTCAATTTAGCCTGATTTGCCCTAGGTTTAGTTAGTTTTAAAATTCCAAAAACTCCTTTATTTGGTTTACGCCCATTTCTTAAATTTTAACGAAAAAAAATAATAACTCACTTTAAGTATAGGACATGGTATAGTAATTTTACTCAGAATTTGATGTGGAATTTAAAAAAGTTAAAATGTATAGGGTGTTTTATTTGAAATAACAAAGTTGATGTCACTTTCGGTTGAAGCGGAAGTGGCATTTTGTTAAAAATATTTTAGAAAAATAGACTTAAATGGATTATAACGCTTTTAAAATTTTAAATCGATATCTTTTTTCGTTCCCCAGAAACTTCTTATGGACCACGAATGTAAAACACCCTTTATACAGTTGTAATTTTTTCATAACCAACTTTTGGACAATTTGTACTTTTTAAAGCACCACTTTCAATGTAAAATCTAAAAATAATATAATATAACAACAAATTGGGTTAGTTGTTAAACTGCTCTGCTACTATTATTAGTACCAGTACTAGTACTAGATAACGTTTAGCACGAATCAAAATTATTGTGGGATGTTTTAATGCATAAAAATTTAAAGAGTTAAAAATATAATTTAAAAATTGGGCTAGGTTGAATTCTAAAAAATAAATAACGATATGTATAGGAATTCTTTATGAGCATAAAAATATGTTTAGAATATTTATTTACAAAGAATTTTCTACTTGGCCTTTGTTACTTATATTTTCAGGCATTCATTAAAGAACAATATTAAATCAATTTATAAGGTTGATTTTCAGGATAAAATTTTATATTTGGAACAATAAAGAAAAGAAAGTTGCGATTTCTTGAACATAAATGAAAAAATTGCATGAACAATTGTTTAATCATAAAAATACCAAGTTAATTATTAACACGTTTTATTTTTAGATATTAATTACAATTGTTTGATATTTTTAGCTACAAATGATTTGTTTTACGTTTCTAGTATACAGGGTTTTTAAATTTCGTTTAAAAATATTAAGGGGTAATTTTTTAGCGCAATATATAAAAAAAATCCTAAGATTACGGGGTCAAAAATGGTTAATAAAGGCGCCAGAATCACCCCCTAAATAATGTCTGGGTTTATAATGTATTGTGGACCTAAATTTAACATGTATATTGTGCATTGATCCACATATTATAGGTTATTATTATAATATACAATAATAAAAACATATTTTATACAAAAGATATCTAAATAATATTTTAACACAACAAGTTTAACAGGACATAATATAAAAATATTTTATAGCAATTAGACAATAAGGTCGGATACGTTAACTAGACATAAAATAGATGTATGTATTGAGCATAAATAATGATGTTTATCTTTTTTATATAAGAATGGAAAAATTACCTTAAAAGCAAACAGAGAAGCTCATAAAATTGTATCTATTTTAAAATCAGCGATATTTAATGTTAACTTTAATTTTAAAAAGCAATAATAGTATATTAAGTATCAAGTGTAATTAGCGCCATTTGTGTCTAGGAAAGTTTATAAACAAGTTGCGTAGGTACTATACTTTTCCTACGACAAATACTTATTATTATCTTAAAGGATCTAAATTAAACAATTGTATAAAGCGACATCTATAAAACAATAGAGTAACCATAAGCATGGGAATCTGTATTAACAGTAACAAATGCCAAATTTTTTGTGTAAATCAATTTTTGTTCCTTAAAAATGGACTAACAAACGTTTTAATCCGATATAGAAGCAGTTTTTCACAGTGAAGTAAAGGGAATGTTTTATGAGCTTTCCACCCGAAATGTCTAATGCTTTATCCGTTAAATATAGTTTACTGCCAGCCACAGTCTTATATAAGACTGTACTGCTGGCAAAATCAAAAGGTCACACAGAAAAAAATCTAACATAGTACCAAGAACAGCGCTGTCATTGAATGCATTAAAATTTAAGCAATCTAAATTGATATTTGCTCAATTAATAACTATTAAACCAAAATAGGGAAATATTTTGCCTAAATGTCAAAGAATTTATTGCGTTAAATGTATACATAGTATACATACAATAGTAACGTTATTAAATAAATCAAATTAGTATTTATTGCAATAACATTCTACCATTCTAACAAATAAATATCAATATGAATATCAATAGATTTAGGAGCGATAACGTTTGTTGTTAATTTAAAAACAGTAAACGATTATAAACCAAGTGCTAACTACCTATTGGTATTATAGGAACTGTTATTTAGGAATACGGATTACAAGATCCCATTGGTTTAATGGCTCACCCATTCATGATATGCTAGCGTTTCTTCTGTGCACTACAAATTTTTTAAATATTGCTGTTAAGAAACTCGTGAATTTGTGTACTAAGATAATACAATAATTTTCACATTAAGTATAATTTCACAGAAAGGGCACTTTCAACTAACTTAAAGCTAACTTCAGCCCGTGACTAAAAACCTGTTGCTAATTTCAGCCCATGACTAAAGCGCATAAAGCCACAGCTTGTGAATGCGTATTTAAAAGATCACTTGGTGTCATGAAAAAATATACGATTAGGGGCGTTTATTAGCACACTTTTAAATTTTTAAAGATTTTTTTAATTTTAAATTTTTTTTAATTTTCAGAATTTTAAATTTTTTATAAATTTTTAAATTTTCACTATAAAAAGTTGTCCGATATTATTTAAATTGAGGTATGTAAAAACCATTTTTGTTCTTTGAAAATTGATATATTAATACGTAATTTTAAAGTTTTGGCCGTGCAGTATGTATGTATACAGGGTGTCCCAGAACTCGCGCCACAGAGAAAAAGGGGGGTGCTGGACCAGCACTGCTGGTAGCAATGGAGATGTCAAATTTAAAAATAAAAAAATTCTAGGTATAATATACCTGGTATATCAAATAAAAGCAAAAAAGCGGCAGCCAATACCCAGAGCTCTCATCTAGGTTAGTCCTATTGCTAAAATGATAAATAATGACAGGAACAAAATTGACAGCAGTGTTACAATGAAGTGGATTCCAGTCGATCAAATATTTTACATATTATATCAACAATACATCCTAAGTATTCGAGCAATTTAAAGATTGGCTATCGTTTTTTAATCTTATATCGCTTATCCTTGTTGTTAGATAATTTTAATTTTCAAGTATGTGTTTCAAATAACTTTCGTCACGTTCCCTTTTTCTGAGGCGCGAGTTCTAGGACACCCTGTATAATATTACTGTATAATTATTTACTTTATCTTTTTTAAACACGTTTGTCAATTTTGGCGAATGCGCCGAGGTCAATTCGTTAATTTAATAGAATTACCTACAAAATTTTATTAATTTGCTATTTAAAACACTTTTAAAAATCGTAGAAGTAAAACAAATATCTAACATTGAAAGTCGCACAATAGGTTTGTTTACATACACAGAAAATATCAGGGCTAAATTTAAGTATTCAAGATCCATATTAAATAAAATCATATATGGAGGCAAAATCGATATAATGGGGTAGTTAAATTTTTTCTGACCTATACTTTTTATGGTTTTATTCAAGGCGTTTTGTAATATTAAACATTTCTGTGAAATCAGAATTTCAATTGAGTTTACCGTTTTCGAGATATTTACAAAAAATATACATTTTTATGACGTCACAAACCTCGCCATGTGACCAACATTCTAAGATTTCTATTGGTTGAAAATTACCCTGTTGTCAAGTTGTCTTGTTAATGATTTCATTCGGTTATGTCAGAAAATACCCGAAGAGGTTATGTACAAATACTGTCACTGTCAGTTGAGTGAAAGATGGTCACCAAATTCATTAAGTACCTATAGGTAAGATATATAGGTAAGATATATCTTCCTTATTACGAGGTATCATATTACTGTTTGATATTTTAGAGTCCAAGATATATAAAGTTATAAAGTGCTTTTTTAGTTCCACCCTTACATTCAAACTAAGATGTCCCATAAGCCAACTGAATGGCTTGTGCGGGTTAGGGGTAGGAACGGACCGACGGCTTAAAGTCCCCTCCGAAGGACTATACACAATGGACAAACACAAATAAACAACCATACCCAAGTGGGATTCGAACCCACGACCTCTCGGCTCGTACCCAGGAGCTCTGACCACTACACCACCGAGGCCTAAAAAAATATAAAGAACTAGGCATTATACTAATGAAATGCATTTACGACAAAATATGATTATAATTATAGGTATTTACTTTATTTGTTTAAAAGCTCCAATGTTCAATGTAACCAACCATTCCACAAGATTCCTCTGCTTTGGAGTCCGTTATTAATAAATCACTTATCTAATATCAATTACAAATAACATAACAATAACATTGATTTTCAATAATCTAAATTTTAAAAAAAACATAACCCGAAAAAAAAACGTCAAAAAATCAATTCTTCTTCTTCTCAACTAAAATTTTAGATCAAGTAGTTTTAAAACTAAAATATTATAACGTGGCGCCATCTATCGTAAGAATCTTAAACTAAACACCATAGAAAAAGCTGGCAACGTTGTCAATAGCCTAGTGACGTAATTAGGAGACTTTTTTTTGTAAATATCTCGAAAACGGTAAACTTAATTGAAATTCCGTTTTCACAAGGATGTTTAAAATTACAAAACGCCTTGAATAAAACCATAAAAAGTATAGGTCAGAAAAAATTTAACTACCCCATTGCGTGAATTATAATAATTAGTTGATACTATTTCTAGAAAATATTTTCGAAATAAACATTTCAACTTTGATTAAATAACTAATCTCGTTGGCTTTATTAACACTTTGTATGTAGGTATGTGGCACAAGTTTGCATAACCTACCTACATATACATATATGTATACATATGTAGGTAATCACGAACAATTTTATAATTATGCTATACATAAATATTGTAACATAGGAACGTGAAAAAAAATATATAAAATAGGTATAAACGTGAAAACATTGCAAGTGGTTAATAGTAGTTTCTATGGTAACGCGTTTTGCTTTTGACACTGGCAGTGACATTTATTTATGCAGTGTCATTTAAAATCTTAAAATGAGTTTTAAAAACAAATTATTATGTTCTGTGCAATGCAAAGAAAAAAATATTAAAAAAAGGTTTGGGAACCATAAATAAAGCAACAGAAAACATGCAGTATGTTGAATGCATCGAAAGGCTAGATTGTCTAATTATTAAAAAAATTATTTTAATTTACTTTAAAACAAAATTATGGTAGTCACCAAATAAATCAAAGCAAATATCCCTAGATAATCCAGTGTTGCCGTATCTTCTAGACGAAAATGACAGATTGATAATTTTGGTTGGACACAGTTAACATTATCGTTTATTATTGCCAAACTGTGCGGTCGATGTTGACAAAAGTTTATATGGCACTTTTACAGGCATAAGTGCATACGAGAAAAAAATAATTTATTTTTTAATCTGACGCATTAGTTAAAGACATGAGCTGTATAGGAGATTTAATTAACGCATATCTTATAACATGTTAATAGGAAATTGATTTTTTTCTCATATGCACTTGTACCTGTACAGTGTTCATAATTTCATGACCATTTTAACACCAAATTAACAACATACATGGTCTATATCGATACAAACCAAAATGGTGTTAAATATAGTTCATTGGTCCAGTCTAAATTCAAATACTAAAATGGTGTAAATTTAACTTTCACACAGTATTAAAATAAATTTTACCTGGTGTAAATTAAACTCCTATTCAGTCTTAAATATTATGTGTTTTTGGTCAAATTAAATCATACTACACAGAAAAAAGGAAAAAAAAAGGAAACAGGAAGTTCCTTGACGCATTACTAGTATATTACCAGTGGTATTATTCCAGAAAATTGAACCTTTTACTCGCTAGAGATAATGTTTTTAGTGCGTTCCACCAACTTTAAGTATTGACAGCTGTTTTCACCTATTTAAGGTCTGTTTAGTATCGAACAACTTGTAGTGCCACACCAAAGCAAAGTACTACCTGAGCTTATATATTCTTCATGTAAGTCAACAGAGGCGAGATTTAAGAACATCACTTGATCCACACCGCCTTTGCCGCGATCGGTACATACTATGCAACCAGGAATGCACGGCAAATTGTTGTAATCGTTTTAACAGAGTGCTTTAGGTTGAAGTAAGTCTTATTTTACAAACAACATATTTAGTAAACTGAACCATACAGCGGGTTGGTTTCACTAAAGTTTTCTGGGTTAATTTAACCAATTTAAAAAAAATAAAATAATTATCTGGTTTAGTACCGTCAAACTAATCTTTGTTTATATTAACCTTCCCACAATTGATTTAAATAAATACTTATGGGTCAACTAAATTAATATGGTTAAATTAACTATTCCTTTTTTCTGTGTAGGTGCACTTCTTAAATATTTTTAGATAAACACCGTTTTGGTGTTTACTGTATATAACATTTTCAACCTTAATTCATGGTGTTTATATTAACACCACTTGGTGTTGGATTTAGACACCATTTTAAGATTACTTTTTACAACACAGATATTTTAAACAGTGTAGAATTGGCATATAATAATATATCCCGTGTCAACTTTTACAGAAATTTATTTATTAATTACCGACATTTTTTAATTTTTTTGTTGAAATACCTTTTTATACTGTTACAGAGCAAAGTGATGGTTCTCAAACATTCGAGGAAGGACAGGAAAGTTGGGCTAAAAATTCACCACGTAATAACCGAAACGCTGCTACACCCCCGGCAGGGCAATTTCCAATGCATAATGGAACTAATATACAGTTTGAATCGCCTAAAGTGCCTGTCATATTTGTACTTGGTAAGATAATCTTTATTTACATAAAAATAGAAATAAATATCCTGTGTTAAAAGATTTGGGGGTTCTAAAAGTAGTTTTTAGTTAGACCTAGGTATTTTAAAAAGGGGAATTTAATCAGAAGTAAACCAAATGGAATATTTATCATCTAATAGCCAAATTTTCTATTTCAGGTGGTCCTGGGAGCGGTAAGGTAACCCATTGCGATAACCTGATGCAGGAAAAAAATGGCGTCACCCACATCAACATGACCGATCTGCTCCAACAGTACGCAATCGGCAACGGTGAGCTACATTTTTTCCCCAGAAACTTTCATATTAAACGGAAACTCAAAAATCAAAACTATTTTTATAAATTTGCGGTACTTTAATTAAACTTAATTTAATTTCTATAGAAATTTTTAACCACTCCACTGTACACAAGATTGCGACTGAGAATACCTTGCTCTGATTGGTTGAACTCAAGTAAGATTATCTGACACATAATATCCATTTCAACAGATAAACTAATTTAAAAAATGCCTTACTTTAAAATAACTTTCACATAAAGTTCATTTTTTTTATCTGGACTGCGGCAACGTTGCAAATTTAGGGGTTAGGTTGGTAAAATTGGTTGCATTGATTAAAACAAACTAAACTAGTTTTAAATGTAATTATAATGTAATTGTGGCTCTGTTTAAATTATTGTAGGTCACATTGAACGGTTGTCAAGTTAAGTCAAGTTGAGTTGTCAAAATTCGTAGTTAAAAATGCAATTAATTTGTCTTTGGTGGGGCGTAGATGAGTAAAATCATATAAAAAGTAGTTAAATATAGGTGACTACGGCCCAGGAGAGACAAAGTATTCCTAGCGAATAATAAACTTCGCTTTGAAAAGAATTTATATAATAGTTATTTGTTTTGCAAGTGTTCAAAAGAGACTTGTTCATCCGAGTGTTTAAGTTGCTCACGAGGCCGTTAGCTTAAAGAAAGCTTTTCTCACAAGTGAAACAATGTTTTTTCTACGACCCTTTTATTTTTTATTATATTCAAATACAAAACAAAATAACCTAAAACGTGTTTGACAGATGTTAAAATTACTTTTATTTTATTCTTTTAATTCTTACGGTATAGGTACCTAAGTTACTTAAAATCAATAAACTTACCTTCTCAATTTAAATAAAGGCACTAAAAATTAGAATTTATTATACAAACACAATTAATTGTGTTCTAAATGATATTTAGACATACCTACCCACACGGAACAATTACATCCAATGGATATCCAATGGATTTCTTTTATGGATATCCAGGATATACATAGGATATCCGGGATATCCAATGGATAACCATTGGATATATAAATGTCCGACCCTCCTGGACATAGTGTGGATATCCAATGGATACCCAGTGGATATAGTATTGTATGCAATATGGTTGTAATCTGTATTCAATATGGAGATTGTATGGATATCCAATGGATAACCATTGGATATATAAATGTCCGACCCTCCTGGACATAGTGTGGATATCCAATGGATACCCAGTGGATATAGTATTGTATGCAATATGGTTGTAATCTGTATTCAATATGGAGATTGTATGGATATCCAATGGATAACCATTGGATATATAAATGTCCGACCCTCCTGGACATAGTGTGGATATCCAATGGATACCCAGTGGATATAGTATTGTATGCAATATGGTTGTCATCTGTATTGGATATGGTGAATCAATGGATATTTACTTTTCAATAAATAACATTGGGTTTTAAAATAAAAGTCTTATTCTTTAATTTAAATATTTATTTTTATGAAAACATAAAATAGAACAGAAAACTACATATAACTAAAGAAGTGAAGTCTCTGGCTTGCCATCACTCCTCCAGCTGTCATTTGCCTTTTTATCAGCCTAATCATTTAGGGCCTATTTCACCTGTCTCCTTATGATCCCCAAAATTTGGCCAATCCATCAGCCCATTTGTTACCCTCGAGCCTATGTATAGCTTGCAAATAAAGGTACGGTATATAAATACATGCATGTATTCACCTTTAATGTTTTACCTTCAATGCTAACCGAAATTTTATAAATTGCACTTAAATATACCTATTTAATTTAAAATTGTATTAGTTTTAGACCAATACAATTTAAAATGATAACTATGATTAGAAAATTAATAAAATATTCACTTACCACTAGAGACCTCAAACAAATAACCACAAAACACAATAACTTGGCAATAAACTTTATGACAAACATATAACAAATAGCAATGATGGCGAATGAACCTTTACAATCTGTGGAATGAAGCAAATAAACATGAAAACCCTTTGGATGTACCTAACAATCATGGCATCATATTTAACGGACGCTACCATAGAAAAAGGACGCTTCTTTATCTTCTGTGTTGTTCGGCAGCAGTGTTGTCAGACGTTTAAATAATTTCAGAAAGCTCATCAAAATGGCGGTTATATTATTAAATCTTTAATACTTAATTAATTAGTATACCTAGTATACCTATTTGACATAAATGTGGTGAATAATTATTTTAAATTTATTTAATTTATTTATTAAAACTTAATAAAGTACGGAAATATATTTCGTTTAGTTATTTTGCTTATAACCGGCAACACTGAAGATTCTCAAATTCAGCGCGTGCGTAGTACTATGAAATACAATAATAAACAAAAGGGACTTTTTTAAGTAATTTTTTATTGTATTGCAGACTGTCATAGTCATATTATTAACAGAAATAATATTATTAATATATAAATATTATTATATGGGTAAAGTGAACATTTCAAAATTAAAAATTTCGTAGCTCTTGGCAAAAAATCAATTTACCGTAAAGTTGTTTTTTTACATATGCTAGTTTAAACCATCACAAAATCCCACATGTATACACACAAGTATATATACAAGATATCCATATCAGTTATCCACCGGATATCGAGTGGATATACATTAAATGTACAGTGGATATACTTTGAACATACATTAGTTATCCATTGGATATATATTAGAGATACTTTGTTGAAATTGGGTTAATAACGATTTAAATCATATTTATTAATCATTACATAAATTTATCCTATAAGGGGCTATTTTAACAAAGAAAAAAATATTTTTAATGTTTTTGTTTTTTTTTGAACATCCAGTATGGATATCCAGTGGATATCCAGTGGATATACATTAGATGTACAGTGGATATACTTTGGACATACATTAGTTATCCATTGGAAATATATTAGAGATACTTTGTTGAAATTGGGTTAATAACGATTTAAATCATATTTATTAATGATTACATAAATTTATACTATAAGGGGCTATTTTAAAAAAGAAAAAAATATTTTTAATGTTTTTGTTTTTTTTTGAACATCCAGTATGGATATCCATTGGATATCCAGTGGATATCCAGTGGATATACATTAGATGTACGGTGGATATACTTTGGACATACATTAGTTATCCATTGGATATATATTAGAGATACTTTGTTGAAATTGGGTTAATAACGATTTAAATCATATTTATTAATCATTACATAAATTTATCCTATAAGGGGCTATTTTAAAAAAGAAAAAAATATTTTTAATGTTTTTGTTTTTTTTAACATCCAGTATGGATATCCATTGGATATCCAGTGGATATCCAGTGGATATACATTAGATGTACAGTGGATATACTTTGGACATACATTAGTTATCCATTGGATATATATTAGAGATACTTTGTTGAAATTGGGTTAATAACGATTTAAATCATATTTATTAATCATTACATAAATTTATCCTATAAGGGGCTATTTTAAAAAAGAAAAAAATATTTTTAATGTTTTTGTTTTTTTTTGAACATCTAGTATGGATATCCATTGGATATCCAATGGATATCGTAAAAGGCATGGATGTTATATGGACATTGGGATAGCCATTGGATATCCATTGGATAGCGTGTTCTGTGTGGGTACATATACAAGTACTATGCTCCACACTTCAAAGTCCCACCACGTGACCAGGTACGGAACGCAGTCTTTTGAAAATTTGTCATTTAAGGCTTTTCAGGTTATGTATCTGTCAAAGTATAGTCAATGAAAGAAATAATATTTATACTGTTACCGTTTATGTTTAAGGGTTAAAAGTTTATAAATCTTTATAGTATCACAGTAACAATGGTTGGTTTAAGAGTTTAGGAGTATAAATACTGCATTTAATAAAATTCTAAAGTGTATAGTGCCAAATAAGTAAAATTTTTGTGCATTTGGTCTACATATTATGTTAATATATTATATCTGATTTTATCCATAAAATAGTTTTAACTAAACGGCATTTATTAAAAAAATCTATCTTCTCTATTATGGAATAAGAATATCTGTATCAAAGGTAGGTTAATATATTATAACAAAAAATATCATCTAATTTTAAAATTTTTAGGTTAGAAAAATCTATTTTGATCAAAATAAATAAGTAATATGGTCATATAAATATAGATATACTAAATAATTGTTGAATATGGTTCAAATTAAATTAAAGCTTTTATACTCCTAACAACAAAACTTGTGCATACCTCTCGGGATCCCTACTTTAAGTTAGATTATAAGGAAACAAACAATTTTTAGAGATACATGCAATGTAAAAATATTTAATACTCCCATAACATGTGATTTTTGAAATTTTTAAAAGTTATAATGATTTTTCGATGAAGATAAAATTCAGTTGAAGCTTTATACGTAATTGTATTGACAAAACTTTATGTAGGTATACTTTAAGCTGGATAAGAAAGACTACTACAAGTAAAAATATTAGATAAAGTATACTGTGGTTTTATTTAAATTTTAGAATTTATAAGGTTATTTATACCTAATGATTGTTCGATGTAGATAAAATTTTGTCGAAGCTTTAGGTACTTGTATTGAAACTAACTATGGGTATATTAGCTGACAGTGTAAGGAACTTTAAGAAGGTTAGCTATCTCTAAAAATTGTTTGTTTCCTTATAATCTTACTTAAAGTAGGGATCCCGAGAGGTATGCACAAGTTTTGTTGTTAGGAGTATAAAAGCTTTAATTTAATTTGAACCATATTCAACACTTATTTAGTATATCTATATTTATATGACCATATTAACACACCAAATAATCCAAAATACTTATTTATTTTGATCAAAATAGATTTTTCTAACCTTAAAATTTCAAAACTAGATGATATTTTTTGTTATAATATATTAACCTACCTTTGATACAGATCGATATTCTTATTCCATAATACAAGCTAATTTTTTTTAATAAATGCCGTTTAGTTAAAAC